GCCTGCTGGGAATGGAAATGAAAAAGCCAGGACAGTCCCTACTCTCACGAAGTTTGAAATCTCCTAGTGGGAGACAACAGAAAGTTTCAACTGCATAAGATATGGAAAGAACCAGGGAACCTGAGGGTACTGGGGTAAAGCCAATATTAATACGTATTCCTACTTGGAACCAATAAAGTGACAGCTTCACAATGATTTTGACTGATTTTAAAGAGCTCAACATATAGAAAGATACCCTCCTCGTAGATTGGTCAAAAACACATGAGGAAGGAAAAATGGTCAGTTCTTCCCAACATTATTAATATCATTAGAGTAATAAATATGATCACTGACTAATATAATAAGTGTAAGGTGGATGAAGTTTTAATGTGTAAACATGGATGTCTTATGTCCTGATATCTTTATCAAGTACCAGTGTCCCTCTGAGTCACAGAATCAGTCACTCAGTGGGCTCAGAAAGTAACCCCAAAATAGTAAGTGAAGGAATTTTCTTAAAACTCCGTAACATTGTAATCAAACATCATTAGGCTGTAACATACAAACAAGATTCATTTAAGCTCTGATCACTTTCTTAGGCTCAAATTCCTTGTTTGGTCAAGAGAGAAAGCAATGTGATTGGCTGAGAGAATCAGTCATGCCCCTCAGGCCTAGATTTGAGAACAGTGATCATGGGAAGTCATACTAGGTCTGTGAATGGAAAAATTCTAGTTCAGAATTTGTCAGTTCAGGAATTGGAGCCTTGAAGTGGAGGAAAAACCAGGCCCCTGAGAGGGAATCATTATGGACTGAGGGACAGGGAGGTGTGTGGGAACTAAGGGACTTTAAAAATTTCTCTCTTCTGTTTTCCTCTTCCCCTCATTGGGCAAGCTGGGCCAGTAGGAAATAGTGCATCTAGCCGGGAGTAGTGAGATGCACTAAGGGCAAATAACAGACATAGATTCAAGTGATAGTCACCCTAAGGAGCCAGTTTCTCTGTCAGAGGCACTGACTATGAATTCAAGAAAGGAGCTGATACAGAATGGACAGAGAACTATGCCTAAGGGGAGATACATCAGGGCTCCACAAAAGGACAGAAAACTTTCATTACCAGTTGTGAATTGTCCCTTTGTCACTCATGTTCCCTACAGGTGTGGTTCACTACCACTGCAGTCTAGGTTTGAGCTTCATCTTCCTATGGATGTTATTTATGAGAGACTGTGCCCCAAAGTTATGGGGCAAATGTTTTTAATTACTGTTCTTAACTATAACATCTTAGTAAGTACTTCTACCAGGAGTTAATTAAATCTACTAGCTAACTGTTAATAGAAAGCATACCATTGGAGGCTCAAGAGCTATAGTAGTGATATAGCTTTCCACAGGGTTACCCTAAGAACCCTGAGAGCCCCTATGGGCACCCAACCTGTAAACCTTTGAATGCAAGGTTGGATTTGTAGATCAAGAAGGGGTTTTACATTTTATATAGGGCAGTCCTTTACTCAGCATATATTTCGTTAGCTTGGATGCTTGTAGCGTAGGTAGCATACCTATCAAAAACTATTCACTAGCTGTTTTCTATCCACAGTCTAAGGTTTTCCAAATCCGACTCTAGGTTCAGTCACTACTAGTCAAAGAGGGAGTGATTTGGGGCATAGCCCCTACCATGAAAATTAGTCCATGTCAGCCTAGAGTTCAGTGTGGTGGGCCATGGGTTATAACAGTATGTTCAATGATTAGAGGAAGGCTGATTAAATTGTGGTTAATTAGTGTAATAGTATTATGGTATCATAAAAATGAAAAATATAAAGAATTCCAAGAAATGTGGGAAAACATATGATAAGGAAAAAGGTCAGCAGAACTAGAAGAACTAGCAAAGACATTGACTACAACTCTGAGGGAAAAAAACAAAAACAAAAAAACAAAAAAAAACCCTCAGTTTTCTAAGTATACAGATGGAGTTATAGGAAGATGCAGAGGACATTCATTTTTTTGTTTAGTTTAATGTTGCTAAAATTGTACAATTTAGTTATTTAATTAAGTTAATTAAGATATAAAAGGTTCAAGTTTGAGAGATTTGGTTGGAGGTTAATTCCATGTTTGGTTCAATTGTTTTAATTTTCATTTGTTGTAAATGTATTTGTAGTAGTAATAATAAAAATAAAAACAATTTTAAAAATGGTTCACTGAAATCGGAATCAAGAAACCTACTTCTGAATATTGATTCATCTATTTACTCAGTGTGTAGCCTAGGGACAGTTCCTTCCCCTCCCTGGGTCTCAGTTTCTTCATCTCTTAAAGGGGAGAGGACCGGGTTGGATGACTTCAGGTTTCTTCCTGAACTAACATGATGAGTTCCTTTAAGTAGGTGCAAGTTCAAAGGGATTCAAATCGAATAGAGCAACGCTAGCTCCACTTTGTCTCAAGGATTGGTGTCAGGGGAGGAAAGGAAGGGGTCATAATCAGTTGACATCATCAGTAACCTTAAACAATTACAATTCTTTGGTTTGAAGAACATACTAGAACTGTCCTTCCACTGAGGAAGCAGGGAGGCCAGGCTCATAACATCCCTGGGAGTGGGAGAGCCATAGGGCCCAAGAGGGGATTGACTCAGGAAGAGAGATAGTGGAACCTTTTCCAGGGTGGAAGGCCCTAGTTACGTCATACAGTATCCTTCCTGTCAGATACTGCCTCTGGATAGAATTGCCAGGTGTCCAGAGGTCTCCTCTCAGAACAGGGATTGGACGAAATCCATTCCCTCTCTTTCTCCCTACAGTACCCACCTCCCACACTTCTCTCTCTAACACTGTCAGTGGCCAAACTAAATCTTTGCTTAGCTTCTCAGCAGAGCTAATGTCCTTGGATTTAAGGACTCTGAGTCATAACAGAGGAAGGAACGGTGCTGGCTTCATAACAAGCTTTTGCTTCTTTCTACAACTGGAAGTACGACATGGTAGAGAGAACCATGGATTTGAAGTCATGGGACTTGAGTTCTAGGTCCGTCTCTGACACTACTTAGTAACTTTGGGCAAATCATTCTACATAGCCACAATGTTAGGCTATGGCATAGTGTCTAAAGGGCTGGATATGGAGTCAAGAGTCATTATTATGTTCAAATCCTGCCTCAGTCACTTGTTAGTTGTGTGATCCTGGGCAAGTCATTTAACCTCTGTCTGCCTCAGTTTCCTTACCTGTAAAGTGGGGATAAATAGGATCTATTTTCCAGGGTTTTTATAAGGATCAAATAAGATAATATTTGTGAAGCATTTTACAAACCTTAAAGCCCTATATGAATGCTAGGTTTTAGTATTATTATTGCTTCCCTATATAATCCTTTGATCCTCATCTATAAAGTAATAGTATACCTGCTGACTTCACAAGGATCTTTAGAAGCATATTTTTAAAAAAATTTTCCCTTTTTGATTCATATGAAAGTACTAAGAAGTGAACATTTTCCTGCCTAAAATGCTCTCTGAACGTCTTCCTTGAAGAAAGTGTGTCAATTACAAAAACAAACGAACAAAAACAAAACAAAACAAAAAACAAAAAACTAAGGTCTTGGGGAAATGGATTAAGTGTGATAACCAAAATTAGAACAGAAAACCTCTTGTCTAGTTAAGATCTTTGCACTCCTCCCCTTCAAATGATTGATCCTATGACCCTTTCCATTCAGAAAGAATGATAACTGATCACAAGGAGGAGCCTCTATCAGTCCTAGAGAAGCCTATGGTCTAGCCATAGTAATCTAACTGATTATCGTAGTTGTTTAATAGAAGATTAAACGACTGATATTCTAGAATGTTAACTCAAAATTGTATTTTAACATATTTTGAACTTTTTTTTTGTTCAAGATTCATATATTTTAAAAAAAATTTATGCTACAAATTGTCTTGGGGTAGAGAGATGTCCTGTGAAAAGCGATGGGGGAAATCTGAGGTGACTATGCTAGTTTGGACATTTCTCTTTCTAAGCTAAAAATTCTTCTTTTTAGAAAGTTAAATAAATTTTTAAAACATTTCTGACAGACTTGTAGCAAAATGCAGAGTGTACAGTTATCTCTTCTACCTAGTGACTTTCCCCATCACAGTTTTGATATATTGTGAGTTGGCATAAGAAATTAAATGGGAATTTTGAGGGAGTTTTGTGGAAGCCACAGAAGACATGGAAAGGCCAGCAGATGACACAAAAAAAGTTTAGAAAACTTTTTTAGAAACTTTGGAAATGCATTATATAACAATCAGTGAACCTGGAAGACTTCTCTGGTATGAAGGGAAGGCCAAAAAATTTTACTCAGATTTTCTAGATTGCAGGGGTGCCATGCTTCTAATCCTGCGATGTGGAAGGGATGACTGTAGTATTAATATTTTTTCTTTAATAGATCAAATGAAAGGATGGCATGATGGAAAGAATATTGCACTGGGAATCAGGAGAATTCTGCTTAATTTAAGTCATTTCTAGCTCAAATGCCTTATCTTCTAATGTATCTTCAACACTGAAATTCTGTGTACTATGTTCTGAGGAGTCTTCCATGCCTAACATTCTGTGTTCTTTTTCTAAGGTGACTTCCAGCTCTTATGTTCTATGTGCTATGTTCTATGTACCCTCTAACTTCACCATTCTATGTTCAAAAGTGCCTTCTAGCTCTGATATTCTGTGTTCTATGTTCTAACATATTTTGTGGTTTGATGTTTTGTGTTCTATTTTAAGGTACCTGCTAGTTCTTGCATTCTGTATTCTAAGGTGTTTTTTACTTCTAATATTAAGGGATTTTTTTGCCTCCTTTTCCACACTATTCATTCTTACAAGAGGTGAGAAATGCTTACAGAATTTTTTGCTGTGTCAGAAGAGAGAATACTGAGGTTCTTCCCCCAAATGAGGAGTTTTTTGAGATTGAAGGACTTTGAGATTGAGTTCAAAGAGAAAATTGTTTTTTCCAAGCCACCCCCATCTGTATTCCTGAGAATGAGAGATGGTAACAGATCTTCTTGTATGCCTCCTATATTATATTGTTTTTGCCTTTCCTGCAGATGGTTCGAGCCCACCCAACTCCATTGAGGATGGTTACTATGAGGATGCAGACAGTAGCTACCCCGTGACCAGAATTAATGGGGAGCAGAAGAATTCTTGTAAGTGCTAGTGTATTAAAAGTCCTTCAGTCACTTAGAATGTGAAGATCTTCACTCCCATAACCTCATTTGTGATGTATAATCTCCATAACTGCAAGAGGCCTATTCAATAAAATAGAAAAGTCACTGATTAAGCACCTACTCTGTTTAGAGCCCAGCTCTAGGTCCAGCTCCAGAAAGTCTTCCCCGGTCCCTCTAGCTTAAAGTCAGTCACTCAGTAAGCATTTATTAAGATCCTACTATGTGCCAGGCACTGTGGTAAATGGTGGGGATAGAAAGACAGACTAAAGATAGTCCATGCCCTCAAGGAACTCACACTCTGAGAGAGGAGACAACATGCAATGACTGTGTACAAACAAGGTGTGTAGAAAATAAATAGGAACTAATTAATGCTGGAAAGGCACTAAGAATTAAGAGGAATTGGGAAAGTCTTCCTGTAAAGGGTAGAATTTTAGCTGGTACTAGAAGATAACTAGGGAAGCCAGTAGGCAGAGACGAGGAGGGAGAGTGTTCCAGGCACTGGAGATAGCCAGAGAAAATGCTCAGACCCAAGAGATAAAGTGTTTTGTTTGAGGAATGAGCATCACTGGACCAAAGAGGAAGTATATGGAGGGTGTGGGGAGAGGTGTAAGCTGTAAGAAGACTGGAAAGGTAGGGGCCTAGGTTCTAAAGAGCTTTGAACATCAAAGAGAGAATTTTGTGTTCGATTCAAAGGTGATAGAGATTCAGCAGAGTTTACTTAGTGGGGGGCATGACATGGTTGGACCCACAACTTCAGGAAACTCACTTTGGTGACTAAATGAAGGATGGACTGGAGTGAGGAGTTTTGTGACAGGCAGACGCGCCAACAGGCTATCACAGTAGTTCAGGTACCAGGAGATAAGAGCCAGGGTGGTAACAGTATCAAAGGAGAGAAGGGAATATATTTGAGAAATGTTGCATAGGTGAAATCGACAGGTCTAGGCAACCAATTGGATATGGAGTTTCAGTCTTTCCTACGCACTTATCACACTCTGTCTATATAGCATTTTTCAGAATGCCTCTCTTCACTGCAAAGCTGAGAACTTTATAGGATAATGACTATATCTTATTCACTATGCTAAGCACAGTGCCTTGTACATAGTAGGAGCTTAATAAATCTTAATCCTCAGTCATATAAAGTGAAAGAAATGAGACTGAATGTGGACTGATAATAGACAGATTAGTCCCTCTCGCTGAAGGAATATTCTCCAGCCAAGATGGCCAAGTAGGTGGGACTGAATGATATGTAAGGTTTCTTCTAGATTTAACATTCTATGTTGTGATGTCCTTTCTAGCTTCCATATGCAATATTCTTTGTTCAGCTCTGACATTTCTATTTCAAAACCTAAGCCTTAGTTTTATCATCAGTAAAATGGAAATGATACTTGCACTATTGATTATATTATTGTTGTTGTTGTTATCGTAGTCTTTGTTTTAAGGTCCCTTCCAATTCTGTAATTCTATGTTTATGATTCTAGACCCAGCATCTCTTGATCCAAACCTCCACATTCTGGCCAGCAGCCCTAGTCCTGTACCTTTGATCCCTTGAGAGCAGGATCTGTTTCTCTTTTTCTAATTTCTGTCCCTGGTGTTTGCACAGTGCCTGGCACATAGCAGGCACTTAATAAATGTTTATTGAATTGAATTAAAGTAGAAGAGCCAGGTGCTTCCCTGGTCTGAGGTGATCCCAAGAGTAACTTGGAACTTTCCTTTGCTTCATCCAGATAATGACTCAGATGCTATGAGCAGCTCTTATGAATCCTATGATGATGAAGAAGAGGATGGAAAAGGGCAGCAGTTAACCCACCAGTGGCCCTCAGAGGAAGCCTCCATGCACCTGGTGAAAGACTGCAGAATCTGTGCCTTCCTACTACGGAAAAAGCGCTTTGGCCAGTGGGCCAAGCAACTGACTCTTATCAGAGACAACCAGCTGTTGGTGAGATAGAGTGATTTTGCATGTATGTGTGTATAGGTGATATGTGTGCTTACATGTATGTATGTACAGCTTGTGTCAGCCACACATGCATGCACATGCACATGAACAAAGAATGCTAATCATGGAATCTCTGCTCTTACACTTCATGTGACCATATAAGAGACATTTTCCCTCCCTGTAAAATAGGGATAGTAACACTTGTCTTACCTCGTAAGACATTTGTGGTAAGTGCTTTGTCACTGTAAAGTGCCATCAAAGTGAAAATCCTTGTAATTGCTATACTTCTAAAGATCCATCTCATTGGATTTAATATTATCTTTACCATTATACATTGTCACCTTTGAGTTGCTTTAGCTCAGAGCTCAACTTGTGGTCTGAATTTTTTTTCCCAATATTTTGATAACTGCATTTCAGTACCTTTGGTTTCTTTGGTAATCCTACATATTTTACTTTATTCATTCAAAGACATTCTGAGAAGGGGATCCAGAGACTTCACCAGACTGCCACAAGAGGTCCATGACACAAAACAAGACCTAAGAACCTCTGCTTTAGTTAAAATAATAAAATCGTTCCCTGATGGCCAGACCTTAGGTGATGAGCCTCTTCTCTATTCTGTTAGTAAACTAAGTCCCACATAGTCCATCACTGGGCTCATCCTCAAATTCTTCCCAGTAGATAAAGCCTGTGAGGATACTATGATATCCTTCAAGAATCCAGGTTCTCTTCCTACATTGATGAGGCATATAAGGAAGATCTAATTCATGGAACTATAAATATTTTTATTTACAATAATTTCCCTTTTGTTCCTCATGCCTCACTGTGGCATAGATAAGATTCTGGGTTTTCCAAGGTTATGCAAGTGGAAGGCAAGCTCTGGCAGGTCCTTCCAAGCTCAAAAGCTATTAGAAATGGCCTTGGCAATGCACTGTGCGTGTCTTATCCAAGGACTAGCTCAGCTAACTGTGGAAAGGTTCATCACTGAAAGGCTGGCTATTAGATGATCCATTCTTTCGCTCTGGCAGCTGATAAAGCAAATAAAAATACAAAATGGCCCTCAGTTCTGGGTATCCCCTCTTCTGTTTCCATAGCAACATAGCTATGTCTCCCATAGCATAGAGAGAGAGCAGAAAAGGGGGCACTTTTTAAAACTATGTACAAATAGGAATTTAACTGTTTATAATCTGAATGTTATCTTTGTCCAAATGTTAGATTTTCATGGTATCAGTTAATATTGTTAAGCTATATGTGGTACGAAGGAAAGAGGTAATGGGTCCGTATCTAAGGTCAGTAGGACAAGTGTTCCTATGTGTGATGATCCTGCCTGGATTGGATTGAGCTAGATTGGACAAATTAGCTACCAAGTGCACATTAGTTCCTGGGGGGTTAGGATGAGGGTGAGGGGTGTCCCTAGAGTCCTGAGCTATGCTTGGGCTCCTGGTTACAATCTCTCTCTCTGTAGCTACTGGGGAGCCAGTGTGAAGTGAACCTGCTCTTTCTGTCACTGTAAGATATGACAAAGACCCTGAAAGTGTGCTATACCTCTGTCTTTCTTCTTTTCTCCTTCCCTTTACTTTTCTCCCATTCTCTCTCCTTTCTCTTTTTCTTTCCCCCCACCCTCGCTCTCTCTCTCTCTCTCCCTCACTGTCTACCTCTTCCCCCTCCTTCTCTCTCTCTCACTCTCTTTCTCTCTCCCTCTCTCCAGTGTTACAAAAACTCCAAGGACCACCAGCCCCATCTGAAGCTGGCCTTGGGCGTCTGTAATGTCATTTATGTGCCCAGGGATGGACGTCGCAAGAAGCATGAGCTACGCTTCTCTCTGGGTGGCACAGAGGCCCTGGTTCTGGCTGTACAGAGCAAGGAACAGGCTGAAGAGTGGCTGAAGGTAGGAACACTAGTCTTTTCTCAGGCCAAGCTGCCTCAATTCCCTAAGGTGGGGGGGTGGGGGGAGACTGCGTATCTCTCAAGCATGTTTGGATTTCCCAGGTTCTGAATTGGCAATCAGACCCAGGGCAGGAATTAGCCTGATCCACACAGCCATTATATACAACTCAGCTCATTTCGTGATCCTTACTGGGGGAAGAGAGAGGAATTATCTGGGAGTGTTAGGAATCTGGGACAGTTCTGAACATCTGGTAAAATGTTAGAGTGTGAAGGAATCTTAGAACATAAAATGTCAGCAGCAAGGTTCTTTAGAGCATAGAATATCAAATCTGGAGGGGGACCTTAGAACACAGAATTTTGAAACTAGAAGGGAACTGAGAGATTATCTAATCAAAGCTCCTCATTTTACAGAGAAAGCCAAGGAGGCAAATTGACTTGCCTGAGTTCACATAACTAGCTAACAGCAAAGCCAGGACTGAAATCCCAGTATCCTGATTTCTGTTCAAGGACCCTTTCACTCTACCACACTGTCAATATCTCCCTAGGACCCCAGAAGGGGGTGTCTGTGGCTCTCCCTCCTCTTATGGTCCTATTAAAACACTGCAACTTAGACCTACATCTCTTTCAGGCTTTCTGTGGTCATCTGTTCACTGGATATTTGGTTTCTTCTCTTTACTCTTTTTGTCCTAGGAATAAAAGGGAGCTGAGTTGGATGATCTATAACGTTGCTTCCAGCTCTGATATCCTGTGATTTTAAGCCTAGAATTAATGTAACTGGGCAAGACAGTTCTTCTTCTTGGGCCTCAGTTTCCTCCTTGGTGAAATGAAGAGGTTGTATTAGATGAGTTCTGAGGTCCCTCTCAGTTCTGAAGTTCTATATTTCCCTGAGACTAGCATTGGGGCACTAGGAAGACTCCCAAAGTGGGAGGCAGGTGAGACTTGGCTTCTAGTTCCTAAATTACCACTAAAACTAACTGTGAGACCCTGAGCCAATCTCTGAGCTCCAGTTTCTTCCTTTATGAAAATGAGATGATAATTCCTGCCCTGCCTGCCTTGGTATTGTAAAAATCAAATGAGACAATATGTGTGAAAGCTCTTTTAAACTGTATATGCATGTAAGAGATGATTATATTAAAGCATCTCTGTTTCACAAGGCTCCTTGCAAAGAGTACCAGTATCACCCAAAATCCTTCCAGTTGGGGCATCTTTCTCTCTATCCCTTCCCTCTACATTTATTTTTTGAAAAGATGAGAATGTTTCATGCTTATTCTGGTCCTTTTCATAGGTTATCAAAGAGGTGAGCAAGTCTAGTGGTGGAGCAGATGGAACAGAGGAGCCCAAGTCCCCAGTTTTACAGTGCAAACTAGACCTAGACAAGGTAGAGTCTCTTTCTGAGTGTCCCCCAGCCCTCTAAGGAAGCTCATCGCTTGAAACAAGAGTGACTTTATTCATTGATTCATCTATCAAATATTTGCCAGCTGCTCAAAATGTGCAAATCACTGTTTATTCCGAAGGGGATACAAAGATGCAGTATCATCAGATTTTGAACTGAAAAAGGGCCCTAAGAAATCAACTATTCCAATGACCTATTTTTACAGATGAAAACATCAAAGGCAATAAAGGCTAAATAATGTGTCTGCACTCACAAAAGTAGTAAGTAGCAGATCCAGGGATCAGATCCAGGACCCTTGACTCCAAATCTACTGCTTATTTCACTAGGATATGCTGCCTTGATTTATTGTTAAATTTAATTTTTATTCTGAATTTAATACCATGTATATATGTGTATGTATATTTATTTCCTTATTTGTTTGTGAGTTTCCATAGCAGATTGCCTTGCTTTCTTATGGAGCTCATAAACTAGTAGTGGTGAAGAAGGCATGAATACAAATGCCTCTAATACAAGGTATAATGGTATAAGGAGCATAAGAAAGATACAACAAACTATGAAAATTCAGTGGAGGAAAAGATCAAAAGAGATTTCACAGTGGTGATGCTGGAGTTGGGCCTGAAAGGATGAAATGGGTTTATTTTTTCTTCTTGTTATTAACTTTTTAAAAAAAAACTAATTAACATTTATTTTATCTCTCTCCCACCCCAGTCTACCCCAGGAGAGGAAAAAAAAAGCCTGTAACAAATATACATAGTCAAGGCAAACAAATTCTCCCATTGGCCATTTCCAAAAATGGGTCTCCTTCTGCTTATATAGTTCATCCCCTTTCTGTCAGAAGGTGGGTGGCATTCTTCTTGATTAGTCTTCTCATTGCACTGACAAGAGCTCATAAGACTTGATGAATTGAATTTGCTCCTGTGGAAATGAGGAGGTGGAGAGAGGGATAGAGAATGTACTGGGTAACACAATTAGGATCCAAAAGGACATGTAAAAGCAGGGAAGATGTGCTAGAGCTAATAGATGAAATGTAATGAGGATAAAATATAAAGGCCTACATTTGAGTTTGAAAATAAATCAGTTACATCTACAGCATGAGGTAGATATTGCTAGATAACAGTTCTTATGAAAAAGACCTGGTGGTTTTCACAGAATCTCAGAGTTGGAAGGAACTTCAGAAATCATTTTGTCCAACATGCACCTAAATGCAAATCCCTTTTACAACATCCTTAATATTAGATAGTCACCCAGCCTATGCTTGAAGACCTCTAGTGATCGAGAACCCACTATCTCCAAAGGAAGGAAAGGAAATATACATTTATTAAGCACGTCCCATGTGTCAGGCCTTGTGCCAAGTGTTTTTTTTTTTTTTAATAACTATTACCTCATTTGATCCTCATAACAACTCTGCAATGTAGGTGTTACTATTATCTATTTTATAGTTGAGGAAACTGAGGCAAATTGAGGTAAGTGACTTGCCTGGGGACACACTGCTAGTGTCTGAGACCATATTTGAACTCAGGACCCCAGGCCCAGCAATCTATCTGCCTCATCACCTAGCTGCCTCTAGGCAGCCTATTCTTTTTTTGGACCACTCTATTAGTAAGGTGTTTTTTTGTTTGTTTTTGATAACATCTTTATCTTCCTCTATAACTTCTGTTCATTGCTCTTAATTCTTCCCTCTGGGGCCAAGCAGAAAAGTATGATCTCATTTCCATGTAAATCTTCATGAACTGCTGTATTGTGTTTGTATGTATTTATGTGTGTGCGTGTATATGTATGCACACACCCCCTAGTGGCTAACCTTTTGGCAATAGCATTGAGCTGCAAGGAAAAATCATTTCCTCCCTCTCTGAGCCTCAGTTTCTTCCTCCTTAAAAGAGAATTAATAGTTGCCTACCTACTTCATAGGACCATTATGAGAAAAGTACTTTGTGGACCTTTCAAGCACTATAAAACTGCAAATTATTATTGTTCTTTATTAGCTAGATTGTTCTTCAGATGATAGAGACAACGGTCCATCAAAAGCTCCATACTCAAAGCCTTTCTACCTTGGTAACTCCTGGGAGAGCTTGGGGTCTTCCAACAGGGTGTGAGACCATCATATGACCATGACAATGAAAGCAGGACTTCAGTGTGGGAGTAGATGAATGAGTGAGTGAATATATTTGCGGAAGGTGGCACAGTTGAGGAGAGAATGGGTCCTGACTGTTTTCTCTTCTTTCAGAGATTATCCCCAGATAAGCAGACATCAGACTCTGACAGCATCAGCACAGGAGAAGGCTGTTTGAGCAATAGTCGCCGTGAGCCAGGGGACTCTGGTGAGAGCCTCACTCCTGCCCTGAACAGGTGGTAGATCCCCAGAGCTTCCTCAAAGGAGCCCTATGGGAGGATGTGTGTGTGTTTGTGTATGAGTGCATGGAGGAGCAGAGAGTGATTATGCCTCTTAATGTGTGTGTATGTGTGCATGTATGGGGGGGAGGCAAAGTGGTTGTGTGTATGTGTGTGATGATATGTGCGTGTCTTGGGGCAGGGAGTGGTCATGCCTCTTAGTGTGTGTGGGGTGTGTGCGTGGGTAGGTGTGTGTTGTTGGAGCTGCCTATTCACAGGAAAGTTTTAAGCAGCCACACACTGTATACAAGTGTAGTTGTTGATAGAGCAGAACGCTATACATGCTTGTGTGTCCTAGAATAACTCTTCTCTAAGAGTTCCCTTGAAGCTAAGTGGGGGCTGTGGGACCCCAGAATGCAGTCCCAGGAGAGGGTCTGCAGGCTCCTCCCATCAAGTACCTGTGGCATGGTTGCTCCAGTAGTGACTGAGTCAAAGGACCTGAGCTTGAATCCCTCCTAGCTGGGCCACGTTGGACAAGCCACTTAGCTGTCTAGGCCTCCGTTTTCTACTGTACAAAATGGAAGGGGGGGGCAGCTAGGTGGCACAGTGGATGGAACACTGGCCCTGAAGTCAGGAGGACCTGAATTCAAATCCGGGCTCAGACCAAACATTTGACACTTAACTAGCTGTGTGACCCTGGGCAAGTCACTTAACTCCAACTGCCTAAGGAAAAAAAAAAGGAGGGGAAGAGGGGGGGAATGGGGAACTTTCTGGTACTTTCTCCATAATGTCTTTCTTATGTCCCCCAAACTAGATGTAATCTCTTCTTTTAACCCCCATAGCATGCTTCTTTTCTGTCTTTTATGGCCTTTACCCCATTGAGTCCAGTACTGTAGATATTCTTGCATGTGTCTCATTTCCCCTGTTAGACTGTGAGGGCCCGCTCTATGGCTCTTACTGAACAGGAGGAATGTTGTTGGTGAGAGTCATACTTTTGCTTAGAGTTGAACAAGGTGACCCCTGAAGTCCCTTATAGCTCTGAAATTCTGTGACTGAAATGTGTATGTGAGAAAGTCATCAAGTTGATCCTTTTACATCCTGGAGAGCCTTCAAATTTAAGAAGTATCAATTAATTATAGTAACTTACTGTAGCAATTTTTATTCAGCAAAGCAATATTACATGCATTGTCTCCTATTGATTGCATTTGTTACTTAAATAATCTTGTGAAACTCACAGGTTTTATTAAACGTGGCAGTCTTGTTATTATTTACCTCAGTTTCCTCATCTGTAAAATCCAGATAATAGTAGCACCCACCTCCCAGGGTTGCTGTGAGGATCAAATGAAATAAAAACGTAAAATGCTCAGCACAGTGCCTGGCACACAACAATAAGCACTTTATAAATGTCAGCTACTATTGTTGTTATTATTATATATGGCAGTTAGGTAACAGAATGGGGATAGAGTGCCAGACTTGAAGTCAGAAAGGCCTGAATGTGAATTCTACCTTAAATACTTACTAGTTCAACCTCTCACAACCTCAGCTTCCTCAGCTGTAAAATGGGGATAATCATAGTACCTACCTTATGGTGGTGTTGTAAGTATTAATTTATGTAAAGCTTGTGTAAAATGCTTGGAAAACCTTGAAGTAATGCTGTGTAAATGTTATTATTATTATTAGGTAAGAAAACTGAAGCCAAGAGAGCTTAAGTGACTTATCTGAGATTACAAACCAAGTTAGTTACTGAATTTTAGAAACAAAAAGGACTTCAGAGACCCTCTATTCCAAATCTATTCTCAATTCCCAGAATCAGGAAGGATAATAAGCAGGATAAGGGTGAGGCTCTGGAATTCTGAGAACAGCCTTCTCCACTCTACTCATCCCTCTGTTTCTGTGATAGGGAGAGGCAAGAAGAGCAGCCTGGCAGAGCTGAAGGGCTCTGTCAGCCGCGCCGCTGGCCGGAAGATCAACCGCATCATTAGCTTCTCCAAGAAGAAGTCACAGACCGAAGATGCACAGATGTCTCCAGCAGAAGAAGGGGTCCCATGCTGTGGTTGGTATAGGAGTCTATAGGGTATTGCTACACCATGAGCCAGACAGTGCTGCTGACTCCTGAAGACAAAGGGGTTATAGTAGACATTTAGTCTAACCTGCTAGAGAGGGCTTGAATTGTCTTGTCTCCTATACAGTGCAGGATATCTCAGTTCAGTTTAGTAAACATTTATTAAGGCATTGTTGTATGCAAGGCAATGGGGGTGATAAAAAGGCAAAAATAGGAAGCAGCGTGATACAGTGGAACAAGCAGTGAGTTTGGAGGGTCACCTGGAAGTGATTCTGCCATTTACTACCTGTGTGACTTTGGGCAAATCACTTAACATCTCTGGGCCTCAGTTTCCTCACCTATAAAAGAAGGCAGTTGGACTAGATTTAAGGGCTATTCCATCTTTATCTCTGTGAAACAAACCCTGCCCTTGAGGAGCTTGCATTCTTCTCGGAGGATGCAACATATACACAAATAAGTATAATATAAAGAAAACTGAGAAGGAAGAAAGTGCTAACAAGTTGGGGAATCAGGGAGTTTCATGGAGGAAGGGGCATCTGCACTGAGCCATGATGGAAAACAAGGTTTCTGAGAGGTGGTGAGGGGAAGAGTGCATTCTAGGTTAGAGGGCAGCCTTTGGGAATGCACAGATAGGAGATGGAGAGCTAAGTTGAAGGAAGAGTTAACCATCCAGTTTAGCTAAAAAGTAGAATTTGTAAAGGAGAAGAATATAAATTAAAGATGGAAAAGTAAGTAGGAATCAGACTGCATAGGGTCTTCAATGTTAGGGAAAGAAATTCTAATTTTATTCTAGAGGCAGTGGGGAGCCACTGAAGGTTCGTGAGCAGAAGAGTGATATGATCAGACTTGTACCTTATGAAAATTATTTTGGAAGCCCTGGAGGATGAATTGGAAAAGGGACAGACTAGAAAAAGAGAGACCAATTAAGAGGCCATGAGTCCTTTCAGGAGTAATGAAGACCTGAGAACTAGGGTGGGGTAGCAGCCATGTGTGTAGAGAGAAGACAGGTGTAAGAGAAGTTATAGAGGCCAAAACTTAGTAACTGACTGAATATATTAGGGTAAAGAAGAGAAGAGAGTTAAGGATGAGCTCAGTATTGTGTCTGAGGTCCTATCCATGCCTTAGTACTAAGTACGTGTCTAAATTCCCAGTCTTTTTGGCTCCATGTATGGGATCTGAGGCCCTGGGATGGCCAGCACTGCGTCATTTTATTTCACTTCTCCTTGGGTGACCTTCCCCTCTTTCAGGAAACTTCCCTGAGTTTGCTGTACTCTAGTAGGAAGTTGCATGGTCTATACTATTTGGCTATCCCTTCTCAACAGAAGACACCATGAAAGTTGAGCTAAAGGGCTTCTAGATTTGATGACATTCCATGTTCTATGATCCCTTCCAGCTCTAACATTCCATGTTCTTTAAGTTCAAAGCAAGAAGAAGAGCTCTTGGTTATTTCTGTTACATAGATTTTTCCAAATTTTGCTTGCTTTACTCAGTAGCTATGCATAAAGTCTTTACACCCTTCTCTGAATTCTTTTATTTGTCATTTCTTAACACATAATGATAATCCATTATATTAATGCATCACAACTTGTTTAGCCATTCCTTAGTGTACATCTGTGTTGGTGCTAGTTCTTTGCCATCCTGGTTATTCTCAATTTAAAAAAAAATCATGCACAGGTGGGTGTGATACCCCAGTCTTACTGCCCCCCAAGCTTTTCCTCATTTCTTTCACCAGTGATCCAGGTCCTGGTGGGCATGTTGTCTGCTGATAGAAGCAGAGAGAGGGTCATGGAGCAGTAGTCCTGTGTCATCACAGGGACTCATGCAGCTCCTCCTTGTTCTCAACCAGCTGGGATGCCTTGAAGGCTTTCCTAGCCCTGAGATTCTAGGATCCTGTGGTCCTATGACTGAACTGTAAATCATTAAGAAATCATAAAGTTTCTTCTTTCCCATCAATGCAGGTTACTTAAACGTCTTGGGGAACCAGTGCTGGAGGGAACGCTGGTGTCGCCTCAAGGGCAACAAATTATATTTCCACAAGGATCACACAGACCTTCGGACCCATGTGAATGCCATCAGCCTTCAGGGCTGTGAGGTTGTGCCAGGTTTTGGCCCCAAGCACCCATTTGCTTTCAGGATTCTCCGTGGCCGGCAGGAGGTCTCTATTTTGGAGGTAACTGTAAAATCCCTGAAATGTTCTAAGTGGTTTAGAGACTTGGAAAGAGCCATTCTTTTAAGGTTTTTAAGGTTTTAAGAGATAAATATGACTTATTATGTATTATGTGCCACACAATCCATTAGTCTTTTCCCTTCTTTATGCCTCTATTTCTCTACAATTTGGGGATGCTTTTTTTTTTTGGAATTTTTTTTTTTTTTTGGTGAGACAATTGGGGTTAAGTGACTTGCCCAAGGTTACACAACTACTATCAAATATCTGAGGCCAGATTTGAACTCAGGTCTTCCTTACTCCAAGGCCAGAGCTTTATCCACTGTGCCACCTAGCTGTCCCTTGAGGATGCTTTCTTCTCCTTCATAATGAGCTAAGACATGGTGAGGTGAGTGTCCTGAGTGCCCCCAGGTACCTGTAGAATTCCTGACTCAGGCTATTAATGTTGGGAAAAGACAGTTGGAAATATAAAACCTAGAATGTCAGAGCAAAAAGAGACTTTAGAATGTTAGGACTTCAGACTTTAGTATTTAGAACATCAGAACGTAGCATGCCAAAGCTAGGAAGGACCATAGAACTCCCCCTAAAGGGGCTGGAAAGGACCTTGGGATGTAGAATGCCAAGCTAGAATTCCTGGCAGAAAATCCTGCCTAGAGAAAGGGTAGGGCTACCCAGATTCATTCACCTATCACTTGAACGAGCCTCTCCATCCTTTGTGGAGGACTCTAAGGATGGAGAGGTCTTTAGGTGGTCTGGGGCCTAGAGAAAAGAAGGAAACAAACATTGATTAAGTGCCTACTATGTACCAGGCACCATGCTGAGCACTTTATACATATTGTCTCATTTGATTCTCATAACACCTCTATAAGGTAGGTGCTATTATCATCCTCATTTTACAGTTTAGGAAACTGAGGTAGGCAGCGATTAAATGACTTTATCTAGATTCACACAGCTAGTAAGTATCTAAGGCCAGATTTGAACTCAGGTTTTCCTGACTCCACACCCAGCATTCTCTGCACTGTACCACCTCCCTGCCTAGAGATGCTGCTACCAAGCCTAGGCTTTAGGGTGGTAGCTATTGATGTCCTTGAAAGGCAATGTGGTATAGTGGACTGGGGTGTGGCCTTGAAATCATGATAATTTGAGTTCAAAGCCTACCATACAAACTCATTAACTATGTAACCATAGGCAGGTCACTTAATCTATATATAGTTAATATAACATATATGCTTAAATCTATATAAAATCAATTTCTTCATCTTTAGAATGGGGACATTAATAGCACCTAAAAGAACTGTCAGGATCAAATGAGGTTATTTATAACAAGTGCTTTGCAAACCTTAACTATATAAACGTGAGCTAGTGTTATTATTGGCAGGTCAGTCATTCAGGCAGTCATTTGAGCACAACATTTATTACATGCATGTTATATACAGAACACTGTGATAGACACTAGAGGAAATACAATTTTTTTTAGGATACCCTATACCCTCAGTGAATTTACACTCTATTAAGGGAATATAATACAGTTATAGCATACAGTATTACAGTGATGAGTAAATTAGAGAATCATAAAACAATGTGCTACATAAAATGTGACAGAGAAGGTCATTATCAATTTGAGGGAACAGAGAAAGCTTCTTCTATGAAGGAGCATGTGACTTGTGCTTTAAAGGGAAAGTTAAAGTTCACCAGATAAAGAAGGAAGGGAAGAGGCAGCCTGAATGAAGATACAGAAGTTTAAGGGTGTGGGGGGCAGGGGGATGTTCAGAGATCAGAGAATTATCCACTGTGGCTGAAGGATAGAGTATGTAGAGGAAAACAACAGGATATAAAACTGGAAAGGGAGGGTGACTCCAAGTTGTAGAGGGCTTTGTATATTAGGCAAAGGATTCTGAACATTACTCTGGAAGCAGTAGGGGGCTAATGATTTTCAGGTGAAGGACTGACATAAGTAGAAAGATTATTCAGTAGTACAAAAGATGGGTGGTGGAGGAGAAATAGAATAGAGTTGGAAGCTATACCTCTAGGCAGGATTTTCTGCCAGGAATTCTAGCTTGGCATTCTACATCCCAAGGCTATTGGAGGAAAGAAGAAGACAGAAAATGCAAGGGACAGGGTTGCTGCGGGCCTGGCACACTTCTGAGCTCTCCTAGATATTCACCATGGCCTGTCTTATTGTGTCTCCTACCCAGGCAAGCTGTTCTGAAGACATGGGCCGCTGGTTGGGGCTGCTGTTGGCTGAGACAGGCTCCAGAGTACCTCCCGAGGCCCTGCACTATGACTATGTGGATGTGGAAACGATAGCCAGTATTGTTAGTGCTGGGCGACACTCCTTTTTGTAAGAGCCTTACGTCTAGTGATCAGAGTCAGTGTGGCCCCAGTAGGAGAGTATTAGATCAGACTCCTCCAGCTCTGTTACCAAGGAAAAATGGTCATATTGGGGATGGGGTGGGGAGGAGGGAAAAACTTAGCAAAGGAGAAGAAGATAAGCTGTAGGGAAATCTATGGATGGAGGTGAAAGAATGTAGGGAGAGAGGGATTAATAAATGGACAGATAGGAAAATGGGCAAATAAACAGATAGTTAGATGGCTAAATAGATGGTTAGATCGGTGGCAGATGGACAGATGAATATACCAACTGGATGGGTAGACTGATGGATTAATAATAGAAAGACTTTGAGGAAAAAGTATTAGTATTTTTAATAGTTCTGAAGCCTTAGGAGCTTAAAATTAGAAATTTGCTTCTCTCCTTCCTTCTCTTTGTTCTCTGCTATCTAGATTTGCAAGTTCCTGTCAGGGCCGATGGCCTGAGCCTAGGGTCTATGATGAGGTCCCCTATGAGAAGATTCAGGTATGAACATATGAATCTTGCCCAGCAGAGTGGTCAAGTCCCTGGTCCTTCTCCTTATGCTGTAGACTTTTTTTCTCCCTTTTCCTTTCACCATAGTATTATCCCAGTACTGCCATGAGTCCTGAAGGTTAACTTCTTTAAATATGGAAATAGTTGGTGGGTAGGATGGCTAGAGTGCCAGATCTGGAGCCAAGAAGTTGTTATTGTTCAGTCATTTTCACTCATGTCCAACTCATTTGGGGTTTTCTTGGCAAAGATACTGGAGTGGTTTGCCATTTGCTTCTCCAGCTCATTTTATGGATGAGGAATTGAGGCAAACAGGGTTAAGTGACTTACCCAAGGTCACACAGCTAGTCACTGTCTGAGGCTGGATTTGAACTCGTGCATCAGGGAGATATGAGTTCAAATCTGCCCTCAAACATTTACTAACTGTGTGCCCTGGTAAAGTCATATAATCTCTTTTTGCCTCAGTTTCCTCAACTATAAAATGGGAAAAAATCAAGTTGTTGTGAGGATCAAATGAAATAGGATTTGTATATGGTGCTTAGCACATTGCCTGATACATAGCAGGTGCTATATAAATGCTTATTCCCTTTGTCCTTCCCTTCCCCATCCCAACTCCTGTCTTTGCTTTCAGGGACACAGTGCCTCCCAATGTCTGTCTTAGTGTAGGCTGCTCCCCACATTTAATAAACCTGAGCCTACAGCAGTGAGTCTTTATTCAGCTTTTGTCATGGCAGTCATGAAGTCACAGACCCTGTGAGCTAAAGCTTGGTAGGGTTTTCTTGGATCCTAAATAGTCTCCTTTTGCCCTTCTCTTTAGAACGATGAGCCCAAGCATCCATCTGGGGCCCAAGTGAAGCGACATGCCTCTTCCTGCAGTGAAAAGTCACTCCGTGTAGACACACAAGTCAAAATAAAGCGCCATGCTTCTAGTAGGTTTTGTCCAGGGACTTCTTCCCCAAGTAAGATAAGAGATGGGGAAGATTTCTAAGGACCCTTCCAGCTCTGAAGTTTTATGCTCTAACATTATATGTTCCAATGTACCTTTTAGCGCTAACATTTTTTATTCTGTCTAATAGTTTAGATTCTAATATTTTATGTTCCAAGGTTTCTTCTGACTCTAATATTTTACATTCTTTGTTTAATATTCCATATTCTTTGTTCTAAAATCTCTTTGGGCTCTGAATATCAGTGATTTTATTCAGTGGTTTTCTTTCTGCTTAGAAAGACACACACTGTTCCAAAAGTCTTAGTGCAGTTTTAAGCTATTATATATTCGTTTCCCACACCTATTCTGTATATACACCTATTTTCATAAGTTCAATAGGTATTTTGTGAATCCACACTCCTAAAAATATAGTGCATGGGCCCCTCTCTGTAAACTTGTCTTTGATAGCCCACCATGGGCAGTTATCCCCAAACTGAAGCATTTCCTAAGAAGGTACAGTAAGAATAAGAGCTATAAAACATTCTTCCCATAAACCTGGGGCTCCCTCTCCCACAAATACTCCCACCATCAGAAAGATGAGTAGACACAGATTTAAGCGTATCCTGGAAAGGAGGCACACACAGGATAAGGAAAGAAGCACATGTAGCTTCTCTTGCCTCTAGTACTACAGGGGCTCCAACATCCTTTCCATTTATGAGATGTCTTCATGTTGCTCCCGCTCAGGGGCAGTATTTCTACTGGGTGGCTCACTAGGCTGGGATCCTTGAACCTGCTCCTCTCTGCAGCCCAACTCCCAGATACCAGACTCATGTTCTTCTCCCATGATTGGCTCTCTTCTCTGATACCAGAAGTCATGCCTTCTCCCTCCCCCTGACCCTCTATGTTCTTGTCTCCCTATTTAGCTAGCAGATCTGCAGCAAGATGCCATTACTGGTGAGGAACGAAAAGGAGAAATATCCTCCTACCCTGTTCCCCTCTTGCAGAGGCTCAGAGGTCACACACCACTAAGCCACTCCTGGCCTCAAATGTACCCAAGGCTGGAAGACTTAGCTCTTTTAAAGGTTCTTAGGGTTGTGGCCAATCTTACACTAGTCAATGGCCAGCTAAATGCCCTTAATTCTATCAAGAGGAGCTCCTTCACATTTTATAATGACCTAACAGAACATAGACACATCTGTTCACTTTGTTAATATCTTAATACCTCATTTCCTCTTATCTGCCCCTTAATGTCTATGATTAAATCAACTGAGTTAAAAGAGACAGGAACCAACTCCTACTATATATGTAGAGAGAGAGAGAGTGTGTGTGTGTGTGTGTGTGTGTGTGTGTGTGTGTGTGTGTGTACAGTATCCCAAAAGTCTTAGTGCAATTTCAAGCTCTTAAAACAGCACTATAACTTGATACTGTATATAATACATATATATGTGTGTATTTGCATAATACACCTACATACATATATAGTTATGCTTGGGTGATATTGTGTAACTCTCCAGAGGCAGAAATTGTGTCTCCCCATCCAGAATTCTGTCTTTGTGACAATGCTGTTGGGGAGGCCATCTATTTGAGGACCCTTTTCCTCTGCTCCATCTTTATAGGTGCCAATCAATACAGGTATGGGAAGAACCGGGCAGAGGAAGATGCCCGGAGGTATCTGGTAGAAAAGGAGAAGCTGGAGAGTGAGAAAGGTTTGATCCGGAATGAGCTAATGACCTTACGAAAAGAGAAGAGGGCGCTAAAGGAGGCCTTGAAGAACAGTGCAGGTACTGGTGTTCCTCATCCCAGTCAGGAGGTACCCTTAAAACAACATGATCTTTAGGAAAGTCTAGGAAAGACCCGGGAAGTTCATTGGAATCAAGAGCAAGTGTAACTTTTTTCTGGAAATGGTCAGCTGAGGGGGTGGAAGGGTATGCACAACACACAGAAGGACCAGATTTTTCTTCCTATGGCCCTGTTGGCTAAAATGCATTCTTTTGGCTATGACTGTGTCATCCAACAATAGTTAATTTTTCTTCCCCTTTAATGACTTTCAAAGAATATTTTTAATACTTTTTTTTGTAAATTCACCTCAAAGATAATATATTATTAGCTCACATTTTACAGTGCTTTGTAATTTAAACCCCCATGAGGTAGCTTGTTCAAATATTATTGTCCCTATGTTTTGTTAATAATAATAACAGCGATTATCTGGAGAGATAACATGGAATAGTGAATAGATGACCAGTATTGGACCCAGGAAGACTTGACTTCAAGTCCTGACTCTGAACTTCACTAGCAGCAAGAGCCCAGCAAATTGTATAACTTCTCGGTGCTCTGGGGCAATTCCCTAAAACTACAAATTACAGTTTGCCAGCTGGAATTGGTGGAGAGAGCTCTCCACACTGATGAGATCACAGGACCAGATAAGAAATTATATATCAGGCAGTTGAGAGGCATTTATTAAATACCTGCTGTGTGCCAGGCATTCTGCTAGGCCCTGAGGATACAGAGGCAAAAGTGAGACAGTGTTGTCCTCTAAGAGCTTATATTCTTTTCAAATTAAATTTGTTTTTTCAAAGGATCTGGGTTCTCTCCTTCCTACCTCCCCCAACCCTTCCCCCTCATTGAAAAAGCAAAAAAAAAAATGAAATGGACTGTTAAAAACATGTATTGTCAAGCAAAACAGATAAGGAATTTATATTTTAAAGGGGGAAACAACATGTAAACATAAAAGTCTATACCAAATAATACAAGGTAATTTATGAGAGAAACCCTAGCAGCAGCTGGAAGGTCAGGAAAGGCCTCATGTAGGAAGTGATACTTAAACTGAGGTTTAGGAGAAACTAGGAAATTCTAAGAGGCAGAGGTGAGGAAAAAAGCATTCCAGGCATGGAGAATTTGGGAAGGGGAGGGGCGGGGCCCAGAAGGGAGACAGCCGATGTTAAGGGCATGGAGATGGGGGATGGAGTGTCATATGTGAGGAACAGAGAGACAACCAGATTAAGGAGAGTAATGTATAATAAGGTTCAAACAATAAGTTGGAGACAGTTTGCAAAGGGTCTTAAATGCCAAATAGAGGCATTTGTATTTAATTCTAGAAGTAACAAGAAGCTGTTTGAGTTTATTGAGTAGGAGATAGCATGGACAGACCTATGTCACTTTGGCAGCTGTAGGGAGGGTGGATTGGGAAGGAGAGACACTTGAGGGAGAGAACCCATTAGAAGGCCATTGCAATAGTGAGAGGTGATGAGAGCCTGAGCTAAGATAGTAGTTTTGAGAGTAGAAAGAAGGCATCAGGCATTAGAGACGTTGTGGAGGTGGAAAGAATTAACTCTGGTAAGTGACTGAACTTGTGACGTGAGTTAGAGTGGGAGCCTGGGGGACTGGAAGCATGGGAGTTCACCTGACAAAAATAAAGATGTTCATTGTTGGGGAATTGTGGAGGAAAAGTTAGCATACTCTGTTCTGGACGTGTCGAGTTTGAGATGCCTGTAGGACATCATTAGAAAGGTCCAGTAGGCTTTTGGTGAGGTGGGAGAGGAACGCAAAAAAGAGATTGGGTTGAATACTTGGATCTGGGATTCATCTGTATAGAGATGATAATTAAACCCATAGGAGCTGATGAGATCAATGAGGGAGTATAGAAGGAGGAGAAGAGGGCCCAGGACAGAGACTTGGGGAGCACCCAAAATTAGGTGATACATGATGCAGATGAGGAGCCAAGACAGGATATGGAAAAAGAGTGGTTAGATAGGCAGGGGGAATCCCAGGAGAAAGTAGTATTACCAAGACTCAAAGGACATAACCTGCAGGAGGAGAGAGTGGTCACCAGTGTCAAATTCAGCAGATGTGGTGAGAAGGATGAGAATTGAAAAAAGATCAGCAGATTGCCATAATTTAGCAATTAAGAGATCGTTGATAATGATGCATAAAGCCGTTTCAAATTGAGTAAAAACAGGGAGTATACTTAGCTTTTTTTCTAGGAGTTTAGCCGAGAAAGAGAAGAGAGATAAAAGACAATAGCTTGAAGGGCTGCCAGGGTCTCGTAAAGATTTTTTTTTTTTAAGAATAGAGGAAACCTGGGTATGTTTATAGGTAGCAGAGAATGAGCCAGTAGAGAAAGTGAAAGAGTGGGGACAAAAAAAGGGGGGCAATCAGCTGCAGGAAATTAAAGGAGATGGGATCAAAGGTATAAGTTGAAGGGACTGTCTTGGTGAGAAGTGCCATCTCTTTACAAGGGACTGCAGTAAAGGAGGAGAAAATGAGGAATGATTTTAGGAAATTTTGAGATGTAGCACAGGGGAGAAGAGGGAGCTCAGGGTGAGACTCTGTGGAGTATGAGTCCACCGCATCTTTTGAAATTGTAGGGAGAGCCAGTGGTGTGGGAGCTTGAGGAGAGAAGAGAAAGTTTAGAACAGCTGCTATGAGGAGGGAGAATCAATTGAGGAGGAGTAACAGGATTGCTTTACTGAATTGAGGCCCAGTTGAAATTAGATGATATAAATTTGTAGTGAACTCATCAGCACGTTTTTGTGAGGTCCTCTAGCACTGTTGAGCAAAAGGTGAGTAGGAGCAGAAGAAGCAGATTATATGAGTAATCAAAGGTTAGGATTTGGCAAGGCATAAATGACTACAACATTGAACAAGCGAATTATAGGATTAGGATTGGAAAGGCAAGAAAGTGAAGCCAGAGCCTTGGGGAAATGGCTGTGGAGAATATTTGAGGGCTCAATGGTAATGGATGTAGCACTTTCAGGTTTTCATTGGACATTATATCATGTCATCTTAGCAACAATCGAATGAGGTGGTTACTGTTCCTAGATTTTACAGGTGAGGAGACTGAGGCTTAGAGAGAAGGGACTTGCTCAAGGTCACATAGATATTAAGTGCTAGAGCCAGGGCTTACTGATTCAAAGTTCATAGCTTAGGAGAAAATGTTCTAACTATCTTCACTCCAACTTTGTCCAGAAAACCTCTTCTTGTATCCAAGATGTGCCTGGGTTCTCTAAAAGTTGGCCTGATAACTTCTGAGGCTCAGGATGCCTCTGTTTCACCAGTGTCTGAGCCAATCCAAACAGCTGAAGGTGGCTCCCTTCCTCTACTGGAAACTGTCAGAAATGTAGCTCTCATGCGTCTTATACCTCCTCCACCCTCTGTCAGAGCTCCCCAGAATCCTACTTAGGAACTAGCAGCCAAAACCCAAACTGTATCTCTAGTCTTGGCCTCAGTGAGATGCCCTGGGTTTCTCACTTTATTTTAAAGTTTTATTTATTTATTTTTTAGTTTTCAACATTCACTTCCATAAGATTTTGAGTTCTAAATTTTCCTCCCCTTCTCCCATCCCAAGATGACGTGCAATCTGGTAAAGGCTCTACATATACATTCATATTAAACATATTTTCATATTAGTCATATTGTAAAAAAGAATTAGAACTAATGAGAGAAACCATAAGAAAGAAGAAATAAACAAAGAAAAATTTCGATTTACATTGTTTATGTAAGTCTTTCCAGGTTTTTCTGAAGTCTGCCTACTCATCATTTCTTATGGAAAAATAGTATTCCATTACATCCATATACCACAACTTGTTCAGCCACTCCCCAATTGATGGGCACATCCCCTCAATTTCCAATTCTTGGCCATCACAAAAAGAGCTGCTAGAGATATTTTTGTACATGTGGAGCTCTATCTACTGTACCACCTAGCTACCCCTCTGTATCTCTTTCTACTCTGCCTTTTCAGGTTCTTTTCAACTCTGTGAGAGTCTTTTAAGATTTTTCTACAGATAACCCCTATTTGAAATTACAGGTCTAGTCCCCATCGCTCTTCCTATATGAAAATGAGATGGGCTGCTATGTGAACCTAGGGTCTCTCTGACCCAAGTAATACATCTCTAAAGCCTCTGCTAAATTAAAATGTACACTTGAGCATTAGAAGATGTTCTACCTCTTCTGCAATCCTGGCTTTGGTGTTGTTTAGTTATTCAGTTGTGTCCCATACTTCATGACATTATTTGGAGTTTTCTTGGCAAAGAGACTGGAGTGGTTTGCGATTTCCTTCTCCAGCTCATTTTATGGAGGAGGAATTGAGGATAACAGAGTTACTTGACTTGCTCAGGGTCACACAGTTAGTGTCTGAGGCAGGATTTGAACTCAGGAAGTTGAGTCTTCCTAACTCCAGGCCTGTGGGCCTAGCTACTACTCTTAAAATTGGCAGTGGATTGTCTCTTTTCCTAAGGTTTACTGACCACCTGGCTGTCTAGCACATCAGCCCTCCTACAACTTACACACCATATTTCCCTATAAGCAAGATTAGCTTTTTTTGTCTTTTTTCCTCCCACTTCTGTATGCCCTAGATAGGACTTGCTGTTCTTGGCTCCCTGTTTTGGGTAGAAGGTGTGTCTCTTCTTTCTTCTTGCCAAATGGCTAATTTCCTTTCACTCTTCTTGGTCAGGTCCCAGATCCACAGAATCTAAGAATGAAAATGGACTCCTGCAATTCATCCTTCACACAGCTGCCAGACTGACTTTCCTAAAGTATAAATCTGATCATGACACCCCCTACTCAATAAACTCTAGTGGCTCACTCTTATTTCCAGGATCAAATATAAACTCCTTTGCTTGGCATCAAAGACCCTTCCTTTACAACTTAGCTCCAACCTCCTTTTCCAGCCTATTCACATTGCTCTCCTGCACACACCTCAGTCTAGCAAGATTAGCATTCTTGTTCCTCCTACACAGCACTGAATCTCCTATCTCAGTGCCTTTGCACATCTCTTCCCTGGAATGGATTCCCTTTCACTTCTATCTCTTTAGAGTACCTAGATTCCTTCAATGTTCCACTCAATTTCAGTCTTTCTTTTCAGGAGTTCTTTCCTGATGTCCCCAACTGCAAGTGTCTTCCCATTAAACATTACCCTGTACATCTATATATGTATTCTCTCCCAGTAGAGTGTTGGCTCTTTGAGAGCAGGGACTGATTTTCCTTTTGTTTTTGTATCCCTTGTGCCTAGCAGAATGCCTGGCATGTGCTTTGTGCTTCATAACTGTTTGTTGATAGATTGATTGATTAATTACTCCTGGAGAAGATCCAGCCTAACCCAAATCTATATAGGGATCCCCTATACAGTATGCTTGACCAGTGGTTATCTAGCCACCACTTGAAGTCCTCCAGTGATGAGACAATGGCATGCAGTGGAATTCTGGAGTTCTGGATTCAGAGGCAGAGGGCAAGATTCTGAATCCCACAGCACTGCCTTCTTATAATCTGAGTGACCTTGAGCAAGTCTTTCTGTGACTTAATTCCTTAATCTATAAAATGATAGGGTTGGACTAGATGACCCCTACCCTTTCAATTCTAAGTCTATGATTCTATAATGAGAAACTGACTTCTTCCTGAGGGACCCCATTCCACTTTGAGATGCTGTAATTGTTGGGGAAGTTTTTCCTGCTATCTATCAAGTTTAAATCAGCCTTTCTGCTACTTTCATATGTACTCTCTCAGGCCAAACTGAACAACTCTAACCCCTCTTCTGTATGATAAGCTGTCAAATACATGAAAGCAGCTTCTATAACTCTCAATTTCCATCCCCACCCTCCCCCCAACCAGCCAATCCCTCATCCAGGTCAAATATCCCAAATTTTTCAATTCCTTTAACCCATCCTGGTAAGGAATGGTTGATAACCCCCTCATTGTTCTGGTCACCTTCTTCTAGCTGCAATAGTTTGTCAATATCTTCATTAAGAGAAAGGCCAAGGTCACCCATTGCATTCTGGGCCATCGCCAGGCATCTTGCCTTTTCTCTTGCCAATGGACTTTGAGGGCTCTGGAGGAGAGAGTGAGGCTGACCACTTTGGGTCAGCCTGCTCTGCCTCACTTGAATCCAATTCACAATCAAGTCAAGACATCATCCTCACGATATTGCTCGCTGGTACTCTTTGAAAATGAAGGAGGAACAGTAACATCCTCATTAAAGTGTGACTTTATTAATTTAACACAACACTTCAGAGAGTGCCGGGCCAGGTGAGAGAACAAGGTGACTTTCATCCTGTTTATTTTGATCATTATGTTTTTAAGGCAGCTTCAAGCACATTCCAGTCTTATGGTATCATGAGCTGGTGCCACCTAGTGGTTAAAGTGAGTATTTCTTGTCGCCCCTTCACTATTTTAGGCAGGAAGGGCATTCACATACAGGAGAGTAATATAATGCTCTGGCTCTCAGATGCTGTTTTCTTTATTATGAAACTTGGAGGATCAGCACAGTGCAGTGGGAAAACACTGAAATTAAGAGCCCCAGGATATGGGTTCAGATCTTGACTCTACTGTGTACTACTTGTGCTTTAACTTCTCTTGATCTTGTATGCCTCATCTGTAAAATGAGGGGGTTAGACTAGATGGCTTCTGGGGTGCTTTTGAGCCTGAGATCTATAATCCTATAATACTTGAATAGCTGAAAACTTCAAGGTTGAGAAAGGAAGGTAAATAGCCAACTGCATCTCACAGAAGGATGACTGATGCTGGTCTGAACCTGGATGACCCTGAGATGACCCTGAGAGGTCCAAAATTTGGACAGAAATGACACAACTAATTGAGGAAAAGTTAATTTCAATATAATAATAATTTATTCAGCACCTAATGTACTAAACACTGTACTAGATACTGGGGATACAAAGTTGAAAAAGTTGGTGGGCTATGCCCTGGAGGAATTAGTCCAACAGGGGCATAAGACATATGATAATTAGATAGAATGTGATTAAGTACATAGGAGAGGCAAGATAGAATGTTCAGCAGGCAGAGATATGATGAGAGGTTCTTCTAGAACTCCTAAGGGACAGTTGTTACAAATGCACAGAGGTAGAAATGGGCAAGGCCAGGTCTGGGAATAGTTAGTAGTCTAATTTTGGTAGAAAGCAGTATATAAGGTAAAAAAAAGTAGGTCAAAACTAGGCCTTAGAAGCCAGGATAAGGAGTTTGTATGTCCTTATAGATAATAACGAGCCAATGAAGGTTTCTGAGCTGGGTGGAATGATATGGTCAGAATTCTGAATTTCGACTATTAAAATGTCAGTGTGGGCAGGATAGATTAGATAAAGGGAAGACTGGTTAGTGGGACGCCTGCCCAGTGGGCCACACCAGAATTATACCTAGCTGTACTCACAGTCCAAATAAGCTGTACCAGATTATATCTCTTAAGTAAGATATAGATAGATAGATTGATCGAGAGATACATACATACATATATATGTATGAGTATGCACATCCAGAGAAAGAGAGAAAAAGGAAAGGAGGAAGGAAGAAAGGGAGGGGGCAAAGCCACAGTCACCTCAGTTCAACATTTATTAAAGCCCTACTATGTGCAAAGCATTATGCTAGGTGATAAGGAGTCTTTGCCCTCAAAGGTCATTGATGTAGAGGTAGAAGGAATTTTAGAACTCTAGTCCAAATTCCTCATTTTACAGATGAGGAACCTGAGGCAGAGAGATTTCTATAAGTGACTTGCTCAAATTCACTCATATATTACATATAAACAACAAGATTAAAACTCAGGTTGTCTGACTCCAAATCCAATATTCTTTCCACTCCACCACACTGCTCTTCTGTTTACATTTTCATGAAATCCCTGAGGCCATCTAATCTGAGCCATTCCAGAGAAGGAATCCTCCAACTAATATCTCTGACAAATGGTTATGCAGCCTCTGCTTGAACCCCTCGTTGAGAAGCTCATTACCTTATAATGTAACCCATCACATTGTTGACTAGCTCAAATTAACATTTTTCCTTATAGAAAAGGGAGTATCTGCCTCTCTGTGATTCCACCCACTAGTCTTTGTCCTGTGGCCAAAGAGAGCCAATCTGATCCCTCTTTCCCTGGACAGTCATTTGATCACAGTCATCCAATAAGAAAGACACTAAATATTCTCCCCAGACTAAACACTCTAGTTCCTTCAACCACTCTTCATATGCCATGGCTTTGAGGCCCTTTCATCATCCTGATCATTTTCGTCTAGAGAGAGCACAGTATAGTGGCAAGAGAGAACTGAGTCCTAATCTTGCTCTTGGTGTTACTTAGAGCAAGTTTTTTTAACTGCTCTGACCACTTTTCTTTATATGTAAAATGAGGCTAATAATGCCTGTAGCGCGTACTTCACAGAGTTGTTGTGAAAATAATTCTCTCTCTCTGCACAAGTAAATATGTATATACTTTGTATGTACCTATCTGTTTCTATCTATCTATAGCTAATAAATGAGGCACATTCTATCTCGTGTATCTTATTAGGATTGTGGGCTTTATTCTGGAATGGCCACTGGAAAGCACAATACTAACCAGTCTCCTCATCCCAGTCTTTGTTCTGTGAGATCTATCCTACACATATTGCCATATAAATCTTCTTAATTCACAATAAGAATTTTACTAAAATATTTTCCATCCATTGCCCCACTTCATGTCGAATTATTACTTGTTATCACTTGTCAATATTCTTCCTAAACTGTGGTGCCTAGAACTGGGCATGAGACAGTTGTTGAGGTCTCACTTGACCTCATGATGATTTGAGAGTGTCCCCAATAGAAAAAAAGATGAACTGCTTTGTGCTCCTTGGAAACAGGGACAAGAGTAAAGGACCTAGAAGAGAAACTAGTGATGCTAGAGGCCCAGTGCCGGGAGAAGGAGGAGAGGAGGATTGACCTAGAGCTCAAGCTTGTGGCAGTGAAGGAGAGCCTGAAGCAATCCCTGGCAGGAGGACCAGCTCTTGGTCTTACTGTGACCAGCCAATCCAAGACTGGAGTGAGTATACATTTTTCCTTCCCATGTTCTCCCCCATACATATGCTGTGGATATCTATTCAGGCTGGAATCCTTGTTTGGGCTGCTAGGAGATGGAAAAGAGCAACCCTGATTGCATTTCTCAGAAACCCTACCAGCTTCTATGATTCAGCTGACTAACATTCAGCAAGCATCTCTGGTAGGAATCTAGAATACAAAGATAAACCAAGATACAGTTTCTATCTTTAAAGAGATTCCTTTCTTGTAGAGGCAATGAGATATTATATTTCACCTCTGTATACTATTCTGTGGATTATAGTGTTTTCTTCGCAGCATCCCTATGACGTGAATAGTTTAAGCATTATTATCCTCAGCTTACAGATGAAGAAGTCAAAGCTCAGAGAATGAAATGACATGGGATTGCAGAGCTAGAAGGGGCCTTAAAGAGTATCTAGCCCAATCTTCTCATTTAATAGGTGAGGAAACCAAGGCCCAAAGCAAAGGGGTCGTACAGGTAATAAATGTCGGAGCTTAGATTTGAACCCTGGTCTTCTGACTTGTCATCCAGTGCCATACCCACTCCACCACACTCACTTGTCCAGTCCAGGAAGCATTAAAAGGAGGACTGGAACTAGGTGTCCTGATTTTGAGTCCACGTTCTGTCAAATGTCCCATGCTACAAATTAACAAGTTGAAATGCACTAAGTGCCTAGAGAGAGGTTAAATGGAAAGAGAAAAGGGATGTGAGGAGGAGCGATCACTTCTAGCTAAAGGAAGCGAGGAAGGCTTCATGGAGGAGATAGCACCTGAGCCGGCCTTAAACAAGGTCCTTAAACTCTCCAGGCCTCAGTTTTCAGGTAAAATAACCAAGTTGGACTCCATGATTTTTGAGGGCTTTCCCTTGGTCCTATGAAGTGAAGGAATTCACCAGTTTAAAGCGTGTGTTGCGCTGTTGTGTAAGGGGCTGGGGCAGGGGTGAGGAAGGGTTTGTAGCCAGGCCGAAAGACAAATGCACAGAGGTGAGAGATCTGCAGTAGCCCAGTTCATGGTAGGCTCATCTTGTCCTTGCCACTTTGTTAATATCAGGGAAGGCAGCTTTCTTCACAATCCTGAACTTCATCTCTCTTGCTCACCCTAGGAAACAGCAAATAAGCCTCCCAGCCTAGAACCCTCTCCTCCTGTCAACTGTACATCGGAACTGAGGAAGAGGAGCCCATCTATCAATGTTTCCAGCAAAGGGAAAGTGCTCCAGAAGGCCAAGGTATGAGAACATCACCTTACGCAGGATCCAGCTGCCAAAATACCTCGCCACACCTAAACACAGCCAAGAATTAGAAAGGCAGCCATAAGAGAGGAGACCAGGGTATCTAATCCTGGCTCTGCCACCAACTTGCTATGTTACTTTGGGCCAGTCCCTTCGCATCTCTGAGTTTGGATTTCCCCCTCCATATAATAGCTAAATGCCCTTCCAGATCTCTTGATTCATCAGAGAGTCCCTAAGGCCTTCATTCTGATCTTATTGACTCTTAGTTTAGATGCAATTCAAATATTAGGCTGGAAACAGGGAATACGAAAGGGGGAGGGATGTCCTTTAGTTTAATGATGTCCTTTTAAACTGCAGTTGGAGAACAGAACATAACACCCTGGCACTGGTCTGACCCAGGGATGTGCTAGTCAATGTTTAATAACTGGCTCTCTAAAAATGCAGAACACACTTTTAACTTCAATCTGCATTATTATCATTTTCTCCTTCACTTTCTTAAATCTAGACAACCAACAAAAGAATAAATCAAGCCCTAACTCATAGCATTTGCTGGTTTCTAAGGTGTAAATGCTCACACTGAAAATTTAACAATCAGCTCTCCACCCCTAAGATGAGCTGGTTCCAGCATCCCTGGCACTGAACAGAGTAGAATATAGAGGGTCTATCACCTCATTATTTCTAAGGAATTTAGAGAAAGCTATGCATTTAAATGCAGCTCGAAGTCACATTAATTTTTCTGACTACCATAGCGACATACCATACCAATGACTCATAATGCTTGCAATACATTGAAATCCCTAGACCTTGTTCAGACATACTGCTGTCTAATTACGGCTCCCTTATCTTGTATTTGTGAAGTTGGTTTTTGGAGCCCCTTTTACATTTTATCCCTATTGAATTTCACAATATTAAATTCAATCCTGGATTCTAGCCTGTCACAATTTTTGTGGACCCTGACTCCCATCATCAAGTGTGTTAGCCTCTTCTCCATGCTTTGGCTTATTCACAGATTTAATTAACACACCCTCCATGCCTTTATCCAAGTCACCAATTAAAATGTTAAATAGTACAGGGGAAAGCACAGATTCCTGAGGCGTTCTACTTTTTCTAAGATGGCATTGAATCACTAGGACCATTCTTTCAGTCTGGCCATTTCTCTGATCTATAATTTTATCAGTCATGAATAGGCCATCTGTTGGCCGGGAGACAGTTTTCATTTTAGGTTTTCTTTACTAAGCTCTGGCCTAAAATGATTTGGGTCAGTCACTCACTGTTTCACTTCAAACACAGCTGTTGGTCAATCAACAAGCATTTATGAAGCGAATACTATGTGTTCTAATTGCTGAAGACACAAAGACAAAAACAGGGCTCTGCCCTCAAGGAGATAACAATCATTTTTGTCAGCGTTTTAGAGAATAACCAATCACTTGTTGAGTACAAAGCATTTTTTATCATAAGTGTCAAAGGGGCTGGGCAGTTAGATGGTGCATTGGAATGAAGACACAAGTGCAAATATCACCTCAGTCACTTAGTAGCTGAGTGACCCTGAGCAAGTCACTTAACCTCTATTTACCTCAGTTTCCTCATCTATAAAATTAGGATAATAATAGTGCCTACATTCCAGAGTTGTTGTGAGGATCAAATGAGATAATGCATGTAAAGTGCTCTGCAAACCTTAAAGTTCTATATAAATGCTCACTATTATTACTACTTGGTGTCAGAGAACACCTTTATTACTTTTGTGAATTTGGGCAAGCCCTTAATCTTCTCTAGCTCTCAATTTCTTCATCTCTAAAATGAGGGGTTGGGCTAATAATAGCTACCATTCATATAACACTTCATAGAGCATTTTAAGGTCTGCAAAACACTTTAGCAATATTATCTCCGCTGTCGTTAAAAACAGACCTGCAATGTTAGTGCTATTATTATCCTCATTTTGCAAATGAGAAAACTGAGGCAGATAGAGTTTAAATGATCTGCCCAGAGGTCGCACATCTAGTAAGTGTCCGAGGTTGGAGTTGAACTGCAGTCTTCTTGTCTCCAGGTCTAGCACTTTATCCACTGGGCCACATAGTTCTCTGACCAGATGATATATTTCTAGTTCTAAATTATGTGTTTCTATTAGAGTCTTCGGGTACTGTTGAGCCTTACTCAATATTTCAAGAATCTGTGATTTCTTTTGAGTTATGGGTACTCCCTCCCTTATACCATGAGATTGCAGCTCCCTGTAACTTCAACAATGATCTTTGAGGGTTTCTGTGACTGACACAAAAAGCAAAAGCACCCTGCATCGAGCCTAATAATGAATGTCTTTGCATTCACCAGTCCCAAGTATAAGTCCTAAATATAGTCCTTTACTAGGTTCCTACTTTAAGCCTTTTCAGTTTGTCAGGATCTGCTCCAGTTTGTGCTCTCTGGCTTTTGAGAATCCAAGGTCACCTCTGCACCATAAGGAGCTATTAGAGCAGGACTTTAGGGGGGAACAAGTGACCTCTGTAGTATCTTTCAAGCCCACTTCCTCTTCTTTCATACCCATCCCCACTGTTGTTATCCTAGACCAGGGCCTTATTACCACCCACAGGACTATCATAATAGCCTCCTAAGTGTTATCTTCCTGTCACAGAGGGGATGCTTTTTTAGGTACGTATTGGACTAGATGCCTTTTAAAGTCTCTCTAAAATTCTGTGATTCTGTGGAATTAATATTTCTGGCAAAAAAACACCCACCTCAGGAAGGTCACTATTCTATTTTTTTTATTCTATTTTTCAAATCCTATTAGGTAAGGAGTCTTAGCATTGTTAACTCTATTTTTTACAGTAGAGGAAACTGAGGGTCAGGTACTTGGCAGAGATTACTCTGTAAGTAGCATATGATTCAGCCCAGGTCTTCCACCTCCAAATCCCATGTTCCTTCTGCTGCATCATGTTGTCTGTCTGCAGAGAACCTGGGTCCCAGTCCCAGTTCTGGCACTTGATAGCTGTGACCCTAAGTAAATAATTTCCCTTCTCTTGGGTCTTAGATTCCTCTTCTGTAAAATGTGAATAATAATATTTAAACTATCAATTCTACAAGCTTGTTGTGAGGTTCAAGTATGATAATGACTGTGAAAGCACTTTATAAACCCTTAATCACTTAAAAAATATGAACTAGTATTATTTTTGTTATTACAACATTGGCATATAATCCTCACTATTGGCCCTATACCTGGGGGCCTAATTGTGATTCCTCCTTAAAGTAATAATAAGTCATTCTACATAATAAATGCTTAGGGAGAACAATGGCCACTTGCTAGGGTTGTTGTATTTGGGACCATGATTTATATATAGTTAGCCTAAATAACCTCTGAAGTCTTTTCTAACTCTTAGCTTCTGTAATTATGTAGTTATTACGTCCCTGTTTTCTGGGCCTCAGGTTCCTCCACTCTAAAACGAGGGGGTTAGACTGCATGAGATTGGAGGTCACCTCTAATGCTGCAATTCTCTTACAGCTACTGTAATAGGGCCTTGGGCCTTCCTTTCTTTATCCGTTTAGTAAAGCTAGCCACTACATGTTTTGGGGCCTCACCTAGATACAGCTCCTTTCTTTTCTGCCCCCTGACCTCTGGGGATAGAAGGAGAGTGGCCACTCATCCAAGGGAATTATCCAATAAAGGTTATGGCCTGTATGTTCTTCATTCACCTCAAACACCATTCAGTAAAATATGCTTATTTGTCTTTCTGCTTTGCAGGAATGGGAAATGAAGAAAACCTAAGAGGACCATGAGAAATATATCTTCTGGGAGATAGCAGCTTCTCCAGCCCATTTTTTCAGCCCCTTTTTCCTGAAGAGCCAGAGAAAAGTAACAGTTTGGGAGCACATGAAGACCACCTTCATTTTCTGTGTTGGGGGGAGGGGGGGAAGGCAAGGAAATGGTGGAGGCACTTTGCCATAGGGGTACAGGGAGGGGGGGAAGTGGTAGATATGCTAGTGATGAAATAAGGAAGACACTTGGGACTTTGGGGGGTGGGGGGTGGAAATGGAGATTGGAGTGAGAAGACTGTTAAGTAACAGTATCTCTGGACAAACTGGATTGGTCATTTTTTCATCTAAAGAAACAAGGAACTGGTGAATAATCACCTTTATTTGACTCTCAGCATCCCGTTTCTTATTTATGAAATGACACAAGGAAACACTAAAGTATATGGGATACTGTAGTGAGGAGAAGCTCCTCTTATGACACTGTAAAGGGTTCCTGGGGCCCTGGTAGCTACTGGAAGCCGATCTGAGCCTGAATATGAAGAGGAGACCCTCTGTATTGCCACAGATCTGTGATTTCATGGCTTGAACAATGCCCTCTATTTTATTGATGTTCATCAATGGCTATGGCCTTCGAACACTTTTTTTTTTTTTTGGTGGCCTCGTTTTTGGTGATAAGCTTCTCCACACATAGTTCAGCTAATCTTCAGACAATGCATCTTTCTTACCAGACCTGGGCTTGAAGTCCTTTCAGCATTCTGGGGCCTTGCTAGAGATGTGCTACCATAGCCTTGAAGGTCCCAGGGTCACCTCCACACCATATGGTTGAACTGGGCGATGACTGAGATAATAGCTACTTGTTTAAACTTGGGTTAAAGCTATGCAGAATGTGAATCCTGTGACTCTTCATCTATTCCCTCTGTGGAGTTGCCTAGGACAATTACCCATTAGTAGTGTCTGCTGTGCATGTCATCAGCTAAATCTGATTGATATAAAAGCAAAGATCTGAAGTGGTAAAAACTTATGCAACTGGGGTGTTTTCAGGTATATAATGTGTGCAGGACAACCCTAAGGAGAATGATGCACACAAACACAAGGTTGCCATGCTAATAGCACACTCATAAGCAGACACCTGCTCATAGACAGGCATTGCGGTATCAGAAAAAACACAAGATCTGGGTCAGAGGATCTGCCTCAGTCACTTAGAAAGTATGTGTCCCTAGCACAATCACTTATTGTGACTGAGCCTCAATTTCCTCATCTTCAAAGTGGGGACAATAATAGCACCTACCTCACAGGGCTTTTGTGAGAATTAAATGAGATGATGTATATAAAGTGTTTCGGAAATGTTAAAGTGCTGTAGAAATATAAGCTATTATTATTATTATATTTCAGCCCTGCAACTTAAAACCTGTATGACTTTGGGCAAGACACTCAAGTCTACCAACCTTTATAAAATGGAAAATAAAGGGTTTGGATTAAATAAGTCCCTTCACGCTCAAAATCCTGTGAATTTATATACTCCATAGGAAGATATGAGCCAGGGGTGCAGGTGTTTTAATGTAGCAAATGTACAGATGCAGTCTTCCCTGGGACTCTATCCTAACACCCTCTATCTCCTCTTTTCACATGTGATGCCTTGGAGGCATCTGCCAGTTAAACTGTTGTGTATGGAAATAGAAATATGCTTGAAATGAGTTAAGAGAAATCTAGGGACTCAAGATTTCTCTTCCTTCATCTTGATGTGTAGCTCACCAGGGAAAAGGGCTCCTCCCCTTTACCTTTCACGCCTTTCCTGTAAAATAATTCATTGCCAAAGGCCAAAGGAAGCCCTGCTGAGTGAATATAAACACACTGGGGAACTGGGGACCTTAGATGTTGAGCTGTCATGCATACTGTGCCACAAGTTGCTGTTTAAAAATTGTATGCACTTTAAAGGTCTGTGTCATGTTTTCCTCCAATAAAGAGAAAACTGTGTAACTATTCACCACCATGGAGTCAGCAATCTTCCCAGAGGGTTTTAAATAGTCTTAGAAAGTTACCTAGGACTCCACAGTTTCAAATTCGACACACATTTATCAAGAGCCTGCTTTTTGCAGGCACTGTGGTCTGCTAAGCTGGAAAGAGACAAGGTTTGTGTTGAAAAGAGTATTCGATTTGGAGACAAGTCATTTTATCTCAGAGCCTCCAATTCATCTGTCAAATAAAGGGATTAGACTAAATGGTCTTCAACATCTTTTAAAGCAACATTTTATGAGTCTAGATAAGACACAATCCCTGGCCTCAGAGGTTTACAGTCTAGTGGAGAAGTATCCCTTAAGAGTTGTTTTCAAGTACCTTATTTCATTGAATCCTCACACCAATCCTTGTGAGATAAACAAAAGATGTTATCCCCATTTGACAATGAAGAAAACAGGAGCTCAGAGACTAGTGAGTAACCTAGAGTTGCACCACTAGGTAGTGGAAGAATTAGGACTGAAACATAGGCTTAATGAATTAGTGTCCTTTGCTACATATTGTACTGTGTTACATGACTTGCAGTCAGTAGCTGGACTTTAACTTGATCACAGCTGTCCAAATGGGCAGTACTGAGTTTTGATGAGGGAGGTGATCTTCTTTTTAGACGGCCCATATAACTTGCTGAAAAGTTTAGAGGAGGAGAGTTTGGGGAGCTCCCAATGGGCAATTAAATTCAATTTTTTAAAAAGTAATAAATTTTTACTACCGAATGTTCAAGGTCCTATGCTGGGATAAAAAGATAAAACAAACAAACAAGCCCACATACAGTGTCTCTGCCCTTAAAGAGAATAAGGTCCTTTATCTTATTAACCACCATTTACTCCATTCAATAAGCTGGGGACTGATGGTCCATGAAGCCATGGCTTCTTTATGATATCTTAGCCTACGCAGCTCTTAGGTCATATCATCATATATAATTAAATGCCTAAATATTCATGGAACAAAAAAAACCTCTTCAAATAAGAGCCCACCAACCATTTTTGGAACCTCTATTATGGGTGAAGTCTGATGTGGGAAATAAACATAAACATGATTCAGTTTCTATCCTTGGATGTAAAGGAGGTAAAACAGGGACATTAATAACTACAATACAAGATGTGATGACTGCCAAATGGAATTCAATTCAATAAACATTGGATACCAGTTTTCTGCAGGGACCCACACTTCAGATAGAAATGGTGGCAGTCCCTGACCCATGCTTACAATATACACAAAGTAAAATGAGATAAGAGTAAAAGAGTGAACCAGGAAAAGTGATCTATGAAAATTTAAGTGAGCCTATGTATGACTGTATAAGAGGGGGATAAGACTGGTGTGGGCTTCGTGGAGGAAATGACAACTAATTTAGACTTTGGGAGAGTAGGTTTTCTTTTTTTTTTTAAATTAATTTATTTTGATTTATCAACAATTACTTCCATATGCTTTTAAGTTTAAAATTTTTCTCCCCCTCCTTCCCCACAACCCTCCCTAAGATGGTGCACAATCTGATATAAGCTATACATATATATTCCTATTAAACATATTTTCACATTAGTGATGTTGTACGTAAGAATTAGAACCAATAGGAGGAACCATCAGAAAGAGGAAACAAAACTCAACAGAAGGAAAAAAAAACAGCAAATAGTATGTTTCAATCTGCATTCAAACTCCTTAGTTCTTTTTTTGGATGTGGATAGCATTTTCCATCATGAGGCCTTTGGAAATGTCTTAGATCCTTGTATTGCTGGGAAGTATTAAGTTTATCAATCTTAGTCATCACAGACCATACAAGTCTTTCCAGGTTTTTCTGAAGTCAGCCTGTTCATCATTTCTTATAGCACAATAGTATTCCATTACATTCATATACCACAACTTGCTCAGCCATTCCCCAATTGATGGGCATCCTCTCAGTTTCCAATTCTTTGCCACCACAAAAAGAGCTGCTATAAATATTTTTGTAAATGTGGGTCCTTTTCTCATTTGTACGATCTCTTTAGGATATAGCCCTAGAAGTGCTATTGCTGGGTCAAAGGGTATGCACATTTTTGGAGAGTAGGTTTTCAATATGCAGGGATGAAAAGGAGATACTTTCTAGCTGTGGAATTACACAGAGGTAGAAAAAGTATGTAGCACTAGGGGAACAACTAGTAGTGCAAACTGATTGGAATGCAGTCTACAATAAAGGAAAATAAGCCAGAAAAAGTAAGCAGAAACCACAATGTTGAGGTCATTAAAAGCTGAAGCTGAGGAGTTTCTATTTCATCCTAGAGCATAGTGGTCTCCAAAGCTGGGGCTATAGAATGAGCCGAAGGGGAACTGACTTGGGCCCAAGGAATTTTTTATCAATCCATCAGAAGGTGAGAAAATGAGTCTTATCCCACTCTCCTATTGTTAATCATGGAGGTGTGTCCAGCACAACTATGCCACTCTTCTCTCCCTTCCCCTACTCCATACCCACCCAAGGCTGGTTCCTCCTGTGACTGCCCCTTAGGGAGGTTTATGACTAGTGGACTCAGCCTGGTACCCTGGTAGTTTAGATCATATATTAGAACTAAATAAGATACCTACATATTAGTATTAACAAAATTTTTTACTTAATAAATAACATAGAAAAAATATTCAAGTATAAAACAGGTAGATGAGGACTCCCTGTCCCCTACATTTGGAAATGCAGTAGAGTGAGGGGTGAAGTCCTTGGGACTTCTATCAAGTAAAAGTACTGATTTCATGTGGGTAGCATTTTGACCTTAAGTGGAATGGAAGTCACATCAATATGGCCTGAGGCCCTGTTTGTCTCAGTTTCCTCATCTGTAAAATGAGCTGGAGAAGGAAATGGCAAACCACTCCATTATCTTTGCCAAGAAAACTCCAACAGCGGTCACGAGGAGTTGAGACAAATGAAAATGACTAAATTAAAACCTACATGCTATATGGGGGCGGGGAGGGGAACCATAGCACCTCACATCTCGCGAGAGCCTAAATCTAACCCAAGAATCTCTAGGCAGGCAAAATTACTCTCCTGATCTCCTTGGGCTGCAGGACAAGGATCAATTAGCAAGGCTCCTTATGTTTCATTTCTTGGTGGATAAAAAGGCATGTATTGGTTGGGATTGTATTACCTTCCTCCACCTCCAACCTGTCCCTTTTC